GGACCAGGAACCAAGGTGGGTTTTATCACAGCAGCAGGAGTTGGCTGTGTGAATGGGAACAGGAAGTCTGACCCTCCCCCTGTCCCACCCTCACCCCCCAGCACCGCTGAGCTAGGAGAATGGTGCTGACCCCATTGGGAAGGATGTCAGAATGGTTGGGCGGGGTATCAAGAGGGCGTTTCTGGGCCCCAATACCTCCAGCCAGGAGACTACAGTGGGCCCATCCCAGGCAGCAAAGGGCAGGCCCTGGCGGCAGGCCTCCTCCAGGAGCTCATGCCTGGAGTGGGGAAGAAAGCGAACAGAGTCCATCAGGGGCGGAGACCTCCAGCCCTCTTGGACAGCCCCCTTCCCTACACCCTCATTCTCATACATGCAGAAAACATAGACACTTTTAAAAACAAAGCAAGGCTTGTGAATCTCTCGCCCCTACCCCCACCCCTAGCCCCATCCGGAGAGCAGAGACTCAGGAAGTTCTCTGGTTCCCAGGAAAGAAGATCCAAGATCTGAGTCATCCCCTCCAGCATTTTCTTATCATGTGTGTCCATACAAACATGCACGTGCATGGACACACTCACACACACACACACACACACACACTCACTTCCTCTTGTTCCTTCGGTCCTTGTCTCCTGGGCCTGTCAGCTTGGCTAGCCCCAGAGGGTCAGTGGCCAGGGTCTCATCCGAGGGTGTCCCCGCTGAAGGTAGGGAGAGGTCAAAATTTGGAGATTTCGGGGAGGATGCAGAAATCTTTCATGTTGGGGGTGATGAGGAGGATTCCGGAAGACAGAGGGCCCAAGAGAGTAGGGATAGAGGCAGACCAGAATCACCTCCCCGCTGCCCCCAGGCAATTACATGGAGGCCTCCCCAAAGTAGGGCTCCACCGAGTCCCTGGGATGCCCTTGGGGTGGTAGTAGTCCTGTACCAGTAAATGTTTAAAAGCCGACTACCCAGGGCAGGAGAAAAAGGGAAGCATTGGCCAATGCCCCTGGTGTAAATCATCCCAAGCTGCCAGAGTGATGTCACTACAAAGGTCTTCGGGATGCCCCTCGTCCTTCTGTTATTTAATAAATCGTTCAGGAATGAATCTATTTGACTCACCCAGTCATTCCAAAGGGCCCTCTTTCCTTTTCCCTACTTTTCCTCTATCCCATGGCCAACTCCTGCCCCTCCCACATTCTGAATTGATTACCAAATGAATGAAGCTGTGAACGAATGAAACAGATACATCAAAAAGAAGAAGGGTGGGAAAGAAAAGGAAAAAAAGGGTTGGGATGGGGGGACCCTCACCCAGGGAAGGGCTGTCCCGGCCTGGTGGTCCCATGCGCCCCTTCTCCTTCTTGCCAAAGAGACGGCCTATGGATGACTTGATACTCTTCTTTTTGGGGGCCTTGTGCAGAGAATCCTGGGTACCCTCACTGGGTAAGAAGGATAGTATGAAAGCCGATCCCATACTCCCCAAGTCTTCTCCAGACCTGTCTCACCCCCCCTAAGCATGCTCCTTGTCCTTCCTACCTGCCCCGTGAAGTCCCCCCATCTTCCAGGGACCCCGCCTGTAGTGCCAAGGCCTGGGTCATTCTCTCAAGGCGGGCAGAGCGAGGGGTGGGAGGTGGGGTGTCTCCCGGGATGGCTGGTCCTTCTCCCCGAGGGGCCCCAGCTTCTTCCTTGGGGACATGATTCTGAGGATGGAGGGAATGAGCTCGTCATTTGAGTTGAAGGAGTCATGTTGGGAATTCCCCCACTAGTCCAGATGTGGATCGGACGATGAGACTGAGTTGCATCTGGTTTGGGGAAGGGGTGGGAAACCTTTTCTGAAGGTAGCCCAGGTTAAGTGGGGTTGAGCAGCAGAAATGTAAACGTGGTGACTGCCGTGATTGTAAGGCGTGGCAAACACATCTTTCTAGTTTCTGAACTTTTAGTGTCAGCAGTGGGATCTGCTTGCTCGCAGAGAAAGCTAATAAAGGTATAGATTCTGGAAGCAGACAGTTGGGGCTCAAATCAGTAAAATAAGGCTGATAACTCTGAGGCCTCTCTCTACAGCCAGTGTTGAGGATTTAATACAGTCCTCAAATATTTGTTTAGTCCTAAAAACAAAACACAAACATTTTTTTTTAATTCTATGCAGAAACTTCGGTGTATAAAACAGGTCAAAGTAGACCAGAGCTGACTAACAGCTGAGTAGTTAAGGATGAGGAACTTAGTGCTCAACGTCCCCTTTTGAGTTGAACCTTTAGGGAGCACTAGAGAGGTTTTTTAAATAAACCCCTGGTGTCAAGGGTTAGTATGGTTATCTGTCATAAAACCTTGTTTCTGACCTCCCCCCTCCCTCCAACCAAGGAGACTTCAGAACACTCACGGCCTTGTCTGTGCCCTCACGGGCAGGGCTAGGGGGAGCCAGACGGGGTGTTGAATGACCAGAACTGGGAGGGGAGGGGCTGGCGAGAGTAGAGGTGGTGAGAGAAGGGGGTAAGGAGCAGCTGCTTCGATAGCGACCCAGGGAGTCCAGGCCAGAGCTGGACACCCGACTTTCTAACTCCTCTGCCCTCTGTTCTGTTGTCTCCTTCTCCTCTTGGATTAGCCTGAGGAGAAAAAGTAAGGAGACCAAGTGAGAAGGCCGAGGCAGATGATGAAAGGAAGAGGGAGTGTGCAAATCGCAATGGGCCAGGAGGAAGACCTGGCAGGTCAAGGGGAATTCTGGGAGAGGCACCATGAGTTTATAGGTGGACGCATCAGGGCCTCATGGTTTCCGAGGGCATCGAGGGGTCATGATAGGCTCCAGAGGTCATGGAGAGATTAGGGATGTCAAAGGGATCGGGATCTACTCTGGATGGTTCTCTCAGTCCCAAGTGGTTCTGGGAAAGCATAAAAGGATGATAGTGGGTATGAAGATGAATTCCAAGTTGGCTTCTAAGAGCAAGGTTCTAATGTGACTGGATACTTGGATACGTCCAGGGGCTCTGATGATCTAGGATCTGAGAAAGTCAATGAGCCGTGACGTATATGAGCGCTGATGTAGCAAGTCAGAAAGAAGATTGAATGGAAGGTAGCGGTTATGGTTGTGTGAGTGTTTGTTGGGGGAACATGGGGAGTGTAAGACTGGAGGAGACTTGCTGAACAGGAAGGACTCTTGTTAGGGTCTTGAGAGAAGATTTGACATCAGTTGGGCTTGCTTAATGAGATCTGGTTATAGTGGGTGGAAAGGCTTGGTATGCAGAGTTGGGATTCTTGATGGGGTTAGGGTAAGACTCTTGATCGTCTGGATCAGGAAGCGTATTGTTTCATCTTGAGAGTCATGGTGGGAGGTTCTGGGTCCTGGCTGTATAGAACCACACTATCCGTGGAGTGCTGCAAAGATCTTTGAATGCTGGGTTATTTGGGGATTGTGTCTTTGGGGTATTGGGCAATCATGAATATGCAGCACATAGGGGAATCCTAGAGGAATCCTCAGGGATTCCTGAATGTTGGAGGGAGGGGAGGGCTGTGAGACTCCCTTGAGGAGGGTGGGGAGGGAAATGGGCTCAGGCCTTCAGATCAGTCTGCACAGTCAGAGGGACTGTGAGTGAGGTCCTTTTGAGCAGTTTGAAAGGGAAGGTAACGGTGGTGTCGGTCTAGTTGTGGGGCAAGGCGGGGCCCCGGTGCCTACTTGATCTCCTTGTTGATAGCTTCCAGCTGCTCCTGAAGCATGATGGCCAATGTCTGCACGTCAGCCTGCCCACTGGGGGACAGCAGCTCAGCCCCAAACATCCCTTCCGCTTCCTCCTCGTCGGAGCCATCCAGCTCTCCAGGGAATGGCGGTGGCATGGACCCGGCAGGGGTAGATCGTTCCCACTCCTGTCTCTGTTGTAAGGACGGGGCACGCAATAGGATGATCCCAGGGGGGCGATTGGCACTGGTCTTTGCTCACCCCCTCCTGACCTCTCCCACTGGCCCCGACATAGGTCATACCCCTTGAGCTGGATGGGCCTCACCATGGGACGCAGCCCACCTTTCTCTCTTGTCTGTTCCCTTTTCTGGATCCAGGGCCTCAACTGTCTCCAAACCAAGACCCCCCCACCGTCCATGATGACCCCAAACACTGTTCCCTTGAGCCAGCTTAAACTGCTTCTTCTGGCAGCCCCCTACCATGCCCGCACTCCCCCCAGATCCCCCCTCGGCCCCCACCCCTTTGTTCCTCTAATGTTCTCACCAAGGAACAGGGCATCCATACGAAGAGATATCCAGGCAGGTGAGGATGATGGAGTTGAGGTGGTGGGGGGTGCAGAAAGAGAAGGTGGGGTGAAGCCAGGAGAACCCTGCTCTTCAGTTCAGAGCTCCCCATCTTTGACTCCATTTCCCACCCCATCCTTGCACAGTCCAATCCCCAGAGGCAGCTGCTGACCTTGGAGGACTCGTCCTTGACCCCTGACCAACGGCCTCTCTTGCCTGCCCGGCCACTGCCAGCCCCGTAGGGGTCCAGGTGAGCACCAGAAGGCAATGTGGGTGCCTGGGAATAACGGAGTTCCAAAGCACTGCCAGGGAGAGACCTGCGGGCATGGAGAAGGCAGTGAGGTGAGGGGGGGGTTTCTCGGAACAAAAGAAGGAAGCTGTGTGGGGTCTATGGGGCAGGATCTGAGTCAGAACTGAGCAGGGGATCTGAAGTCGAAGGTCAGAGAAAAGAGCCCGAGGTCACATCACAGGTCATGAGGATCAAAAGAAGAGGGAGGCATGGCCGCCAGAGGGCAGTGCTTAGAGGGCCAGGCATGAGGTGGGCAGACCTAGGGATGTGAGTAGGAATGAGTTTGGCCATGGGGAGGTGCCCCACGGGCAGAGATGGGTCCCCAACCCCGGGGCCTACTGTCACCTAGAATAAGAGGATGGGGGTCTCCCTCTCAACTGGTCGATCTCCATCTGCATCCTCTCCATCTCTGCCAGGAGCTGCTCCTGAGGGAGGAGGGGGGCGGGTCGCAGAGAGGTGTCACAAGAGCGTCTGCAAGCCCCTCCTACGTCAGCTCGGCCTCTGGTCTCTATCATCCGGGTACTTGGCCAGCCTCTCGGGAACCTGCCTCTCAGGGGACCCTTTACCTTGTTCAGCAACAGCTCATCCTGAAGTTTCTTCATGTTGGCGATCTCTTCACTCAGGGAATTCTGCAAGGAACAGGGTGGGGGGGGTGAGGGGGTGGAGCCCTAGAGGCAGCAGGCCCTGCCCCTTCCCCCCAAGAAGCCTCCCCAGCATGGAAAAGGGCCAGAGAAGAGTCCAAGGTAAATGGGGGTGCGCACAAATGGATAGCTGGAGAGGTGGGGCTTGGGAGCTAAAGATGCCCTGGAGGGAGGTGAGTTCCCAGGGAGCCCCAGAATCTGTCATTTTGTTTCATCTCAGGATTCAAAGTTGGAGAGTGCAGAAGGCCAGGGATTTTAGGGGACTCCAAGGACTCTGGGTACGGGCGCCCCAGAATTCGGCCTTGGGGTGAGCTGAAGGAGAGTCAAGGAATCTGCAGCATATGGGGCGCCCTGGCTTGGAGAGATCGCAGCAAAGGGATCTGGGGGAAAGGTCTGTGCCCACAAGGGCTGCACCTTCTCCTCTAGAGCCCCCATGCGTTCCTTGAGGTGGAGCTGCAAGCGCTCGTTGGATTCGCTCAGCAGCTTGTCCACCGTCTCCGACAGCCGCTTGTTGTGATCGTCGTTCATCTTCTCCCGCTGCCGCGCCTGCCCAAGGGGAAGCGGGTCAAGGCTGCTCAAGCCCACCTGGCCCAGTGTGCTGCCTTCCACCCAAGCCCTGCCTCCCCGCTTAAGCCCCACCCCAATGCCAAGGCCCCGCCCCACCCAGTCCTCCGGCCCCGCCCACTCACCCGCTGCAGCTCCTGATTTTTCTCCTCCAACTGGGCCTCCAGCTGCCGGAGCCGCTCCTCAAAATTCCCATGGCGCTCCTCGGCCTAGTGAATGAAACCGATGACGTCAGGGTCTGCCTCACTAGGCCACGCCCCTCCGAGCTCCAGGCTCCTCCCCTGCGGGCCTCCAGACCCACCACCGGAGGTTCAGGTCCCGCCCACTTCTCCAGGCTCCGCCCCATCTCTCCCTGGCACCTTGTTGAGCGCCGCCACGCGCTGCGCCAGCTGCGCCTCTATCTCGGGCAAGGTCTCCGCTTTCTGCAGCGTCTGCTGTAACTTCTGCTTGGCGTCATCCAGCCACTCGGCCAGCTGACGGCTCTTTTCCTCACTCTGGGGTGCAGAGAAGCCAAGAAGGAGCAGGACTAGGTCACCTGGGCGATAGCCCCGGCCCCACCCCATCTTTCCGGCCACACTCCCTACCTGCCGGTACAGCGACTCCTTGCTGGCCAGCTCATTCTCCAGCTTGTCGTTTGCGTCGTGCAGAGACGTGGCCTCCCGCTGGGCACTCAGGTAGCGCTTCTCCAGCGTCGTGATTCGCTCTTCCATATCCTCGCGCTGTGCCAGCGCCTGCAGAGGTGAACAAGGGCCGTGTGGACCAGAGCTCCCCAAAGGGCCAAGGGTAAGCTAAGCTTAGAACCCCACACCGGGCTTCCCAGGGTATCCTGGGAAATGAAATCCCCTGTCGTCTGGGCGCCAGAATGGTGTCACACTTGCTCAAAGCTTCCAGGACTCGTCCACCTTAAACCCTGCTGCTGCAATTTTAAGCGATTTTAGGGTAGTGCTGACTTCGATTCTCCAAGAATTCCACAGCCTGTGGGCCATGGCTCTACACTTCTCAAAAATCCAGGTCTCAGAAGAGGAGGAGCCGAAACCGGGCGGCTAATTGCTTCCTTTGTGATGATACCAGAAGAACTAGATGGTGCCCAGTTATGTTCATTACTGGATCTTTTGATCAATGATTCTATATTAGAATGCTGATCAAGAGGTGGAAATGCAGAACCGAATTATAAGTCCTTGTGCAACCCAGACTTTGTGGTGGCTTGGATGAATCTTGGAAACTATTGCCTTGAAATCATTTTTAACCTTAAACAAAAACTATGCCCGGAAGTCTTCTTTAAACCAAAAGATAATTTAGCTTCATTAGCAAGAATGTCTGCCTTGAGCTCTGTGCTTTTTTAAATAACGATGTCTCTGGGATCCAAAGACAATAGCTTTAAAGATTAGATAAGACCTTAGGACTCAGTGAGTCTATGTCGGCGTGGGAAAGAACAATGCAGAAAGAAGGGCAAGAACGGTTGCACAACTGGAAGAATGCCATCCATGTCACCAAGCATGCAGAAATCAGTGAACTGGAGGGTGCATGGATTCTGTGTACCTTTCCACCAAATATATATACTGAGACCTAGGGGCATAGTAGGTTACACATTGGGCTGCTAACCACAAGGTTAGCAGTTCAAGACCACCAACTGCCCTGCGGGGAAAAAGATGAGGGTTTCTACTCCCTTAAAGAGTTCCAGTCTTGGAAACACACAGGGGCAGTTCTACCCTGTCCTGTAGGGCCACTATGAGTCAAAATCGACTCCGTGGCAGTGAGTTTTTGAGTTTTGTATATATCCTCATAAGCTCTGGTGGAGCCCAGGCTTAGAATCACAAAGCATGTGCCCTAGGGTCTCCTGGGAAACAAAGTTCCCGTCCATTTGGGAGGCAACACCTTAAAAGTCCAGAGGAGGGAACCACACTTCCCAGCAGCCCCTGGGAGCCTTTTACCTTAAAATGCAAGGTAAAAACCCCTGGTGGGAAATGACAAATAAATGCTCTTCACTCATTCTCATCCATTGCCCTCAAGACCCCAGGTCCTACAATTCCCAGCAGCCCTTTGTGCTCGGGAGTTAAGTTCAAGGGTCCTACACCAGGAAGGAGTGAAATGCAGACAAAGAAATTCAACTTAAAGGCTCAAGAGAATTCCCCATAGGTCACATAATAATTGTAGGTGGGCTGCTATGAGCCTACCCTTTGACAAGTGCCATGGGTCCTATTTGACAGGTGAGGCCCCTGCGGCTCAGAGCCGGGAAGAGCCCAACACAAAACAAGGAGCTGATGCCACGTTCCTCATACACAAGTTCGGTGGGCAAACGGGGAGGGTTGGGACTCAGGGGAGGGGCGGAGGGCAGCCCACCAGGGGCTCCAGCCTCACCTCCTTGAGGTCTCGCTGCAGCTTGGTGCTAGCTTCCTCGGCCTTACCCAGCTCGCGGTGGGCGGTGCCCAGCTCCTCCTCCAGCTGGCTCATCTGGCGGCACAATACCGCCAGGCGCTCCCGCAGCTGGCACACCTCCGCTCGCTGCCGCTCCAGGGCCTCCTCCAGCTCGGCCGTCCGCCGGTTCGAGTCCCCTCCGGGACCCAGGCCATTGGCAAGGGCCTGGAGTCAATATGGGGAAGGAGGAAGAAGCAGGGTCCCAAGTTCGGAAGAGTTAGACAGAGAAGGGATACAAAGAGAAAGCTGATCAGCCGGGGCCAGGACGGTTCTACTTTGCACACCTGCAGTCACCATGTATGTCAGGTGGCAACTCACAAGGATTGTGTAGATCCACATAAGTCAATGAGGGTCATAGCAGTTAGCTAAGTGCCATGAATCTGAAGGCAAAGGTCAGTAAGGGTCTTCAGGGTTCAGCTTCCCTGGGGGGGTCCGTGAGGGTCATATTGAACTTTTAAAAAAGGACCATCATAAAGTCAGGGGATGGGATGAAAGTCACAAGGATGGGGATTCATAAAGAAACAGGAAGCCACTAGAGGGAAGGCCTTCCACCTCTCACCTGCCCATCTCCATCCTTGCCTGGCTCCTCCAGGCCGGAGCGTCGCCTAGACATCTGCTCTCGAAGATTCAAAGTCTAGAAAAGCAGAAGGGGGTTCAGGGCAAACAGGCTCTAGGAACCCCAAGTTCTACTCCCATTGGCACTGGGGAAGTCATAGGAGCCTCCATCTGTGCTGCCGCTGGTCCTGTTGGAATTAACCCCATCCCACCCCAGGGTCTACCCACATGCCCACCCACTTGGTTGCTCCTTGACTGTGCCCTCACTCAATCCTCTGTTGTTTTGAGATGCTCTCAAGTCAGTTCTGACCCACAGGGATCCCACGAACAACAGAAGGAAACACTGCCCAGCCCTGCGTACCCTCACCACTGTTCTTGTGCTTGCAGCCACAGTGTTGATCCATCTCCTGGATCCTCCACTCCACCCTCACCCCTGCGTCTTCTCCACTTGACCAAGAGTGATGGTAGTTTAACCTTAGTCAAGTCTTCCTTTAATCTTTCTTTAGCACCCCTTGTGGATGTTTCCTTTGTAGCTTTGTCTCCCCCCCCCCATCCAAGGACCCTCCCCTTCAGCATCCATGCCATTGACCATTCCCTTAGCCTACAGGAACCCAGCTTAGTCTGACTCTCAATGGGAGGGTCTCCCTATTCCCTTGTCCACTGAATTCCTTCTTTGGAACTCACTGATTTTCTCAGGAGGCTGACCCCATTGATTCTGCATAGTTTAACCCCATTGGTTCTCCATAGTCTAACCCCATTGTTTCTTTGCCTGAGATCTGCCCCAATTGATTCTCTCCCAATCAGTTCTCCTTCTCCCATTCCCCTGGCTATCTCCTAGGCCTTGCTCCATGGGTAGCTCCTTAGTGTGTCCCCCCCCCCATTGGCTTAACCCCTTTGGGGCCACATGCCACCTCTTGATTGCTCAGCTCCAACTCTTCCTCCAGCACTGCCACCCGCTCCAGCGCCATCCGCAGCCGCTCGCGGACCTAAGGATGGAAGCAAGACAGGAGTGAGGTGGAGATGATTGGGCCGGGTTAGAATGTCTCTGTGCACCGGGCTCGGGAAGGAGGTCTGGGGGTGTTTGCCTGCTAACCACAAGATCAGCAAACCGTTCAAATCCATCAGATGCTTCCCGGGAGAAAAATGAGGCTTTCTGCTCCTATAAAGATTTACAGCACTGGAGCAACTGATATTAGGGGCTAGAGCGGGAGGCAAATGTTTTGAGAATGATGAGGGCAACAAATGTGCATATGTGCTTGACACAACGGATGTATGTATGGATTGTGATGAGAATTGTACGAGCCCCCAATAAAACAATTTTTAAAAAGATTTACAGCACTGGAACGCGCGCGCGCGCGCACACACACACGAGAAAAAAAAAAGACAGTTCTTCTCTGTCCTATTTGGCTCACTATCAGTCGGAATCCACTCGATGGTAGTGAGTTTGGATCATACTTGGGAGGCGATCCCAACGGGCTACCCTGACAGTCCCACTCACTAAGAGTCCCAACCCACTTCTTTCTATTATCACCCAGTCAGAGTGGCTTGTTCCCACGGACAGCAGTCAACATTCTTCCCACGCTGGACAGCCCCAGCCAACCACAGCCAAAATCCTACTCATTCGGGACAGACCAACCAATCACAACCAGAGTCCCTCCTACACTGGACAGCCCCAACCAATCCCAACCAGAATCCCTCCCATGCCCGGGAGACCCAAGCAACCAGGGGTGGGTTTCTGTCTTCTCTCCCCTTCCCACTCCATCCACCTGTAATCCACTCACCTTCTCATCCAGGGCTTTGTGGTGCTCAAAGAGGGATTTCAGTGCCTTCAGCACCTCCACCTCCGAGGAGACCCCCCCTGGGGACTGGGCCTGGCGCTTCACCACGGTCATGCGCAGAGACCTCTCGTGCCTGGACACCAGGCACTCCAGGTGTTCCAGGAGAAGCTAACGATCAGGGCATCGGTCCGAAATCAGCGGGGACAGGGAGGTGAAGGGTCGAGGAAGAGTGGTCCAGAGAGGTGGGGTGAGCACATGAATAAAGGTGGCAGGTCAGGAAAAGAGGGAGGGGCAAGACAGGAAGGGGTGGAGGATAAAAAGGAAGGTATGGAGATTGAGGAGGGGCCATAAAGGAAAAAAGGTGTCGGTAAAGGGGAGAAAACCAGAAAGGAAGATAGATGAGGACGCGTCAGTCTGTGGCCCCGCCCACCCAAGTAGGCCCCGCCCCCAATCTCACCCGCGTGTTGTTCCGCTCCGCCTTCAACTCCGCTATTTCCTCCTCCCGCTCCAACAGCTGCTCCCGACATAGATTCAGTTCCTTCGTCAGGGCTGCAAACTCCTGTCCGGAAGTGAGCCGGGTCCGGATCATCAGATCAGCACTTTTCCCCATCTCTCACATTCCTGGGGACTCAAAAGTCTGCAGGCCCCGCCCCTTCTTGCTAAGCCCCGCCTTCCCTTCCGTACTGCTCCGGCCCCGCCCTTCAAGGCGAGCCTCTTTCAGGCTCCTCCCCTCCAAGAGCCAAGTCCCACCCCTCCCGGATCACCCCCTCGGCTCCGGCACGGGTCCAGACCCCGCCTCCCTTGGGCCCCGCCCTCGGCTCCGCCCAGACCTGGGGCAGCGCGATGCTGAGCTGGCGCTGCAGCGAGTCTTTCTCGTGGCCCAGCTCGCGCAGCCGCAGCTGCGCCGTCGCCAACCCGTCCTGCGCCTCGCGCAGCGTCTCCAGCAGCCGCTCGCGCTCCGTGAGCATCGTGACCATGAGGCGCTCCAGTTCGCCACCCGCCTCGTCCGGGCCCAGCGCCGAGCCCCGCCGGCCATCCTCGCTGATGGTGGGCATCACCTCGCACATCATGGCGGCGGTGCCAGCCTGCGGGCGGGGGCGGGTAACTGAGGCAGGCCTCCAGGCACAGGCAGAGAAACTGAGGCCTGGCCACTCAGAGACTGAGGCCGGGCCACCCAGCATGACACTGGAGACACTGAGGACCATTCATTCGGATCAGGGGAGAGTGTAATGCTCTTGGCCATAGCAGGCGTGGCTACTTGGGCCAGAGCAATTGGAGAAAGTGAGGTCAGACTCCCATAAGGCACTGGCGGCAAAACGGAGGCTTGGCCACTCAGGTGTAACCTCAGACAGGGCCTTGGATGAGCGAATGTGAAAAACCCAGGTGCCACTTAATTCTGGATCAGCTGAGAAACCCAACCCACTGCACAGAAGGGAAAACTGAGGCCCAAGCGAGAACCCTTCGAAGCCATGCTCTCTGGAGACCACTGTGATGGGGGTCAGGAATTAGGTCACTGGTATGTGGTTATAACATCACAGCAATGGGTCTCACCTACTCTCCAACCCCACTCCTACTGTCCAGATACCTGGACCCTAGCTGGTCAGAATTTAGCAATTCACTTGACTTTTTCTTTTTAAGGGTGGTGTTAGGGGTACACTCCTTGGGACCCAGAAGTCCAAGTCTGGATTTCGGGCCCCTTCATCCTCAATTCCAAGAGTCAAAATCACAGCCCAGTCCTCCCCAAGATACATAGTCTGGGCCTTCAGTTGCCTCCTCCCTTAATCCCAGAAATCCCTGCTGTCAGATCCTGCTTCCCCGGGGACCCCAGGAGTCCAAACTCAATCCTCTCCCCAGCCCTCTTGGAGCTGTGGCTGAGAAGGAGAAGTGGAAAGGGCCGGGATTTCTAGAGCAGGAGGACAAGACTTGGGTCACTGGAGCCAGGGGTGGAGGAGAGATTAATAAAGGTCCCCCTGCACCCCTCCCTCCCCAGACAGCTGGTTCAACGGGTCTGACTGGCCCTGCAGAAAGCTGCAGGACTTTCATTCTGTACCCTCCTCTCCCTCTCCCCCAGCATAACCGGTTCTGTTTCTGAAAGTGGATCACTCCCAACCCCGCCCAACATGCAGACAGACCGCATCTAAAAGTCTAGGTCTGGAACCTTGCACTCTTGGGAGGAGAGGAAGGGACAGGGGGCCTTGGGTCTTGGAAGACGAGGGAGCTGGGTGCTGGTACCCTTGAGTATTTCACACAGCGGATCTAGGGATCAAGATTCCTGAGCCTTCAGTCACTAGGAGTCAGGAAAACGTTGCTAAGAACCCAGAACCTACTGAGAAGAGGCAATACAAGATGTTCTAGGTAGACTGCTCTAGAACTTCAAATTCACTAAGAAGATATTCAAAGGCCAGCCAGCCTGGGCGAAGAATCTAGAACGGTACTGGAATGAGGTATTACCTGCAGAAAGGATGTATGATTCTATGTTTATTACATGCTTGGGGGAAGAGCCACACAGAGAGTCGGGGGGCATATTCTAAAATCCGGGTCTGAAGCCTAGAATTTAGAATCCGACCAGGAATCTTCCAGTCATTTAAAAATGCCTGGATTATCCCAGAATCCCAAACACAGAAGGGATGGGTGATGGCACCTGAGAAACAAACTTCCTGCGATGTGCACCACACTCAGTCAAGAGACATCATCTAGAACATAGACCCCACTGGTGAGGTGGAGGTATCACACCGGATCGAGCAGGGGACACCTTGGTGATTGTATCCCGTGGCTGGAAAGGCTAAGCTTCAGAAAACCAAAGACTTGCTCTAGAATGCAGAAAATGCCCTAGCAACTACAGCCAAGGCAAGCCTGGAAACTAAGCAAGGAGTTGGCCTGAAATTTAGAAAGGCCTGGAAAAAGTGGTGGGAGTCGGGGGAGACAGGGAGTACACATAGAGAATTGAAAATTTCTTAGGATAAGGTATGGTGTTCTAGAATATTTCTAGGCTAGAGAAATTCCTCAAGAGACGAGAACCTACAACATATGTAGATTGTCTGGGTTCCACAATTCACTAGAGAAGTTCTCAACCAAGGCCATCCGAGGAAAGGAACAGGAGAAGAAGACAGGCCAGGAATGGAAAGGTGGATCGATGGTGGTGAGAATCTAAAGGTGAAGCCAGGAAGGTGGCATGTGGAGCCCATCAATGGAAATCTTCTAGACTTAAGTTTGTGGAATTAGATGGCAAAAAGACATTCTAGAACAGATAGCACGGCTTGGAAAAGGGCCAGAGATCACAATCGGAAGGCGTACATCTTTGAGCGTAGACTGCTCCTGGGCAGATAATGGCACCTAAAGCAAGCCAAAGATGGTGGCTGGAACCTAGAAGATAGGTGAACATGTAGCGGAGAAGATGAAGGAATGGATGCTAGAAATTTCGAACCTGCTAAAAAGGAGAAGGGCTCAGAATTTGCCTTGGGGGCATGACCTGCGTCTGTGAAATCACCTTAGAAAAAAACTAGAATCTTGCATCTGACCTAGAACTTAGAACGTGGGTGCGTGTGGACTAGAGGTGTCACCTGAGTGTGTTCTAAGACTGGAAGGGAATCTAGAATGCGAAGCAGTCATTGCAACAACACAGGTGTCAACAGAGATGGGGAAGGTGGGCAGTGGGACTAGGTTCTAGATCAGTGGGTCTCAACGTTCCTAATGCTGTGATCCTTTAATACAGTTTCCTCATGCTGTGGTGACCCCCAACCATAAAATTATTTTCATTGCTACTTCATCACTGTCATTTTGCTACTGTGATGAATCGGGCGACCCCTGTGAAAGGGTGGTTCAACCCCCAAAGGGGTCGCGACCCACAGGTTGAGAACCGTGGTTCTAGATGCTCCACTAAGTCTAGACCATGGAACACAGCCTGAAGAAGGGGTGTTATGTTTGGCTTATCGGGATGGAGAGGGTACTTGTAGGATGGGGCATCTTGACAAGAGTCTCTGGAGGTCCTGGGATGATGGGAACCTCGCAGGAAATTGGATTTGGGGGAGAATAGAGAAGAGGGTCCCTGTGAGCCCAGCACTTAAGATGACATGGGAAGATGAAGAGGGGGTGTGGGCACTGTCTAGAAAATGTGATGTTGATAGAGGGGTGGGAGTCATGGGGACGTGGTTCCCTAAGAGTGAGGCCTGAGGAAAGAAATATGGAAAGGAAAGAAAGGCAAAGGAAGGTAGGGGTGGGGGTGGGGGTGGGGAGTGCCTGGAAGCCTGGCTCCTTCCCCAAAGGGTGGGCTAGGACCTCAGGAAGGTTACAGAGAGGCTAAAGGTCTAAACTCTAAGGGTGTCAGAGAAAGTGACAAGACACCCAGGTCTCCGAGGGGAAGAGGGCGGGCAGAGGCCCAAGAATTACATTCCCGGTTTTGAAAGGGAAAGAGACTCATGGCGCCTGGATCCCTAAGGGGCAGATGTTGGGATGCTGGGGCGGGCGCTGGGTGTGCTGGGTGTTTTTGTCTGAGGGGCGCAGGAGCTATGGAACTGGGTCTCCAAAGGAGGCAAAGCTGGGAGCTTGCAATCCTAGGTGCTGAGGGGGTGCTGGGTCCTTAAGCCAGATGGGGTGAGAACCAGCAGTGTTCCCCGAGATGGGTGGGCGCTGGAACACCCCCACCCCCCACCCCATGTCAGGGTCCCTAAGGTAGACTGAGCAGGGGTATTCAGAAACCCAAATGGAGCAACTGGGAGGCTGAAGATGGGCGCTGAGAGGCCAGCCGGCGGAAGCCAGAGGGCCGGCACTGGGGTCGGGGAGGGCCCGGGGATCCCCGGGTCAACAGCGCGGCTGGGGGATCCTCCTCCTCGGCGGCGGCGCAGTCGGCGGAGAAGGCGAGGCGCCTAGTGCCGACCATGGACAGCTCCAGAGCGGGCCTGTGTCCAGGGCGCCGGCGAGCCGGCCTGGGCAGACGGACTGCCCAAGCCTGGAGGGCTGGGGACGGGCAGACTCAGGGTACAGAGTGTGTGTGCTGGGGGGTGCGATGCGAGTGCGATGGGGCGCAGCCGGCCATGGCTGGGGGTCTGGAGCCACCACCACCAGCCCCCGCCCCGGGGCCTGGGCCGAGGAGGGGAAGCCAGGTTCAGAGAGGGTCTCGGGGTCTGGACCCGGACAGCCAGGCTCCTGGGCCCTGGAGGAGGCGCGCTGAGGCAGTTCGCCTGGGCTTGCGGGGCTCGGTTGGGGACTCTGGGCGCCGGAAGCGGCACGCCTGGGTCCCCGGTGGTGGGCTTGTGAGATCTAGGCTGGCGGTACCCGAGGATGAGAAAGAGAATCCGGGATCTGGGGGAGGTTCGGCCAGGGGTACCCGGGGTGGGCGCTGCCAGGCGGCCC